GTTAAGTTCCCATTGACCTTAATCTTGGCTTCTTGCTTAGAGTATATTGCTTTGATTATTTGTAGAAATTTTCCTTCCACTCCCATTTCTTTTAGTTGTAGCATCATAAACTCCCAGTTGACATTATCAAAGGCTTTCTCTGCATCTAAAAAGATTAACATCATCTGCTTTCCTGGATGGAGTTCATAGTATTCTAAAATGTCTATTATCGTCCTTATGTTTGATGACAGTTTCCTTTAGGGAGGAAACCTGTTTGGTCTTTATGTATTATTTCTCCTAATATTTCCTTTAATCTTGAAGCCCAGATGGCTGTGAAGATCTTATAATTGACATTTAGTAGGGAGATTGGTCTGTAATTCTTAATTTTGTTCTTTTCGGACCCCTCTTTATGTATTAATGAATATGTGCCTCTTTCCATGTATTTGGTATTACCCCCTTGGACTCAATGACTTCGGTTAACTTCTTAAATTGAGGACTTAAGTTTTCTTCAAACGCCTTATAATATTCGGCTGGTAACCCATCTGGTCCTGGAGATTTGCCATTTTCCTGTTTTTTCCAAGGCTCTTGAATCTCCTCCATTGTAATTGATTTGTTTAATTTCTCAAGTTGTTGGGGGTCAAACTTCCATTTTGGAGATTTATTCAAGTATTCCAATTGCTTCTCTTGCTCTACTTCTCTTTTCTTATAGAGGCCAGTATAGAATTTTACTACTTCTTTTTCAATCTCCTTTTGCGTATAGATTTCCTTTCCTTGCTTATCCAATATTTCCGTAATTCTCGTTTTCTCTCTCTCTTTTTTAAATTCTATATGCTAACCATCTTCCTGGCTTATTTGCATTCTCAAAAAAGTTCTGTCTCGCAAATTTTATTTTTTTGTCCAACTCTTTGTTCTAGCAAGTTACTTTTATGCTGTAAAGTATTTATCTTGTTCAATAAATTCTTATTAGTTGGAGACTTTTTAAGTTCCATTTCTTCCTTTTTTAAGGACATGATCAGAGTGTGATATTGTTTGTTCCTCTCCTTTTTTCTTTGTATATTATGTTCTATCGCCCATATACGAAAGAAGGCTTTTGCAGCGTCCCATATCACTGTCATCTCAGTATCCTGGGGTTTATTTGTTTCGAAGAAGAATTCTAATTCTTTTCTAATTTTATTCAAAAAAATTTCTTCTCTCAGTAGATGGGTGTTCAATTTCCATGAGCCTCTTCTTGGCATTTGTCCTAAACTCATCCATATTGGATTGTGATCTGCATATGTGTTTGGTAGGATATCAATTTCATTCACTTGATGAGTGAGTTCTGCTGAGATCCAACAGTTATCTATTCTTGACCAGGAATTGTGTCGATTAGAATAAAAGGTATAATCCTTCCTATTTGGATTCCTGGTTCTCCATATGTTGATTAAACTTAATTCTTCTGCCATTTCCAAAAATACTTTGGGTATGATGTTCCTTGTTCTTTTCCTCCCATTTCCATTGCTCGTAGATGTATCTTTTTCTTTGTTCACTACTGCATTTAAGTCACTGTCAGTTTCACACATCATGATCCGAAGACAAAAAAAAAGATGTGTTGATGGTCTGCTGGATAATTTGGGGAACAAGAAGTATTTTTCTTACCTGATAAGAAAAGGACAGGTTACTTGCCTGTAAACATGGTTCTTCAAGTGGATTCTCTATGAATACACACCAGTGGGTAAAGACAGTCCTTGCGCTGGCCTCTCGGAATCTTCTAGAGCTAAAAGAGAAAAGTAACAATGTTTTAGGTTGCCCTATACAGAGCATGCTCCGCCTGCCAACGGCTCAGTTGCATATGCCCGCAACATAGAGAGAGTTGGTACTCATCTACCAGTGACGGACATGTGGGGAGGCCGGGCAGGATGTGTATATTCATAGAGAATCCACTTGAAGAACCATGTTTACAGGTAAGTAACCTGTCCTTCTTCAACGTGGTTCTCTATGAATCCACACCAGTGGGTGACTAGCAAGCACGCTTATTGGATAGTGGGCCATCACTGCAGTAACGAAGTTAAAACAGCCCTTCCAAACTTGGTCTCAGCTTTAGCCCGAAGGTCCAGTTTGTAATGTTTAACAAAGGTAGACACATTGGACCAAGTGGCAGATCTACAAATTTCCTGTATGTCAATTCCACGCAACAGGGCCGTTGAGGTGGCCACAACTCTGGTGGAATGGGCTCTGATACCCTCAGGAATGGGTTTCTTCTGCAGTTCATAGGCTAAGAAAATGGTGGAAACCAACCACCTAGAGAGAGGGGAAGGTGAAGCTGGGGAACCCTTACGGGGACCGTAGAAACATAGAAACAGTCTTGAATTCTTCCTGAAATCCTTTGTTCTAGTGACATAATATGCTAGTGCTCTCCGAACATCCAGAGAATGGAGCATGCGCTCAATGTCTGTAACAGCATCAGGAAACAACGTTGGCAAAATCAACGGCTGGTTAACGTGGAATTCTGAAACAACCTTAGGAAGGAACGAAACGTCAGGATGAAGAACAACCTTATCTTTAAAAAACTGTAGATAAGGGGAATCTGCACGCAGTGCAGCTAATTCACTGGCTCTTCTAGCAGAGGTGATGGCTACCAAGAATAAAGTCTTAAAAGATAACAACTTAAAGTCACACGAAGTCATAGGTTCAAATGGGTGCCTAGTAAGATCATGCAGAACAGTCCGTAAGGACCACTGTGGGACTGGCCTCTTCGAAGGTGGTCTCATGTTGTATAGTCCCTTGAAGAAGGCTTTAAGTGTCGGGTGAGAAAACCACCTGGATGACTCCGAACCAGGAGGTTGGAAAGCAACAATAGCTGAAGTATAAACCTTCAGTGTAGACCTAGACAATCCGCAGTCAAAAAGATATCGAAGATATAACAGGAGGGTAGAAAGAGAAACAGGTGAAGGTTGTAAATCTCTCTCTTTAGCAAAGTTAAAAAAGTTTTTCCACTTGTATTTATAAAGCATCTTTGTGGCTGGCGTTCGAGCCTTGTCAATGACCTGTCAATGATAGGAAATCCTCCACGCTGTCAAGTGGAGTGTCTCGACGTCTGGGTGAAGGATGTTTCCATTGTTCTGAGTGAGTAGTTGTGGATGTAATGGTAGTGCTACTCTGTCCACTGACATCTGAAACAGCATGGAGAACCACGGTCGACGTGACCACCAAGGAGCAATCAGGATTGCTTCTGCTCTCGTCTGCAAAATCCTGACGATGGTCTTCTGCAGAACCGGCAGTGGTGGATAAAGATATAGCAGACCGCTGTTCCACGGAACCATAAAGGTGTCCCCTAGAGATCCCTCTCCTTTCCCGGCGCGGGGCGCATAGAACAGGCACTTCTTGTTGTCCCGGGTCGCGAAAATGTCCACAAGAGGCTGACCCCACCTGTGGCAAAGAGTGAAGTACACCTCCTGATCCAGTTTCCACTCGTGGGATTGAAAGGGGCGACGACTCAGCTCGTCCGCTATTTGATTGTCCGATGTTGAGACGTGGATGGCTACCGGAAAGATGTGTTGCTGGTAGCACCACTCCCAGAGATGGACAGCCAGAAACAGGAGGGACTTCGACTGTGTGCCTCCCTGCTTGTTGACGTAGAACATTGTGGTGGTGTTGTCTGTTACTACTTGAATAGCTCTGCCTCTTACAAGGGGGAGAAAGGCCCTGAGCACCTTTATGACTGCCAACATCTCCAGGTGATTGATGTGTAGTACAGACTCCTGTGGGGACCATAAAGCATGTATCTGATGGCCCTCGCAGTGGGCTCCCCATCCCACTGGGCTGGCATCCGTTGTCACCTGTCTCGTGAGTTGCAGACTGAAGAGAGCGCATCTTGAGGCACGCATGAGGCAGGGCAGCGGTTGTCGAGGCCATGAGGCCTAGTAGGTGTTGAGCTAACCTGGCAGACACTGTCCTCCGAGGTTTGAACCTTCAAACCACCTTCCTGATTTTTTGGATGCGCTCTGGAGGTAGGAACATGCGTGCATGTACAGCATCCAGACGTGCGCCTATATAGTCCATCACCTGAGAAGGGTCCAGATGTGACTTGTCGTAGTTGATAGATAGGTGCAGGGCTTGTAGGGTACGGAGGACCAGATGAGTGTCCTCGTATGCTTGATTCTTGGATTTGGACACAATCAGTCAATCGTCAATGTATGGGTAAATCTGAATCCCCCTCAAGCGCAGGTAAGCCGCCACCGGAGCCATACACTTGGTGAAGGTTCTTGGCGCTGTGGACAAGCTGAACGGGAGCGCCACAAACTGGTATATAGTGTCTCTGAACATCAGGCATAGATACTTTCTGTACTTCTTGTGGATCGTGATATGGAAGTACGCATCCTTGAGGTCCACCACAACAAACCAATCTCCTTCTTTCAACAGGTGGATGATCCCTTCTAAAGTCACCATTCTGAAGCGACGAGGTCTGAGGTAAGAGTTGAGGTCCCTCAGATCCAATATAGGTCTTAGGCTGCCGTCCTTCTTGGGAACCGTAAAGTACCGGTAGTAGAACCTGTTCAGAATGTCCCGTTGAGGTACCTTCTGGATGGCTTGTTTTGCTAGAAGGGTGAGGATCTCTTCCTCCAGGATGGGGTCGAATGATGTAGGCCTGACCCCTCCTAGAGGGGGCAACTCTATAAACTCCAGGCAGTAGCCTCAGCTTACAGTGTTCAAGACCCAGGTGTCCTGAGTAATCATGCACCAGTTGTGAAGATAAGGAGACAGGCGTGTTGATTGGTTGTTGGCCAGGATGGATATGGGGAAGTCAAAGATATTGTTTCGACTTCCTGCCAAAAGGTTTGAAGGACTGACGTCTGTTAGACTGAGGTTTAAAACTTGAACCTGAGGAAGAGGCCTGAGAAGACCTTGGAGGCAGTTGGGATCTAAATGGGCGATATGTGGATGATGTAGCTTGCTGAAATTGCTGTTGCTGTGGTCTAGGTCTCCACTGGAACTTAGAGGGCCTAGGCTGCTGCTGTACCGCATAAGACTTTGCTGTTTTCTTGCTCTTATGCAGGTTTTCCAGATTTTCATCTGTCTTCTCACTGAAGAGACCTGAAGCATCAAAGGGCAGGTTCTTTATCCTCGCCTTGATGTCATCTACTATATTCGCTGACCGCAGCCAAGCATGCCTCCTGAGCGTAATGATGGAAGCAAGATTTCTGGCATTGGCATCTGCAACGTGACAGGAAGCCAGGACTCTGATGCTTGGAAAGAGTTTGCGCCTCAGCATGAGCATTGAGGCACATTTGCCTAATATCCTCGGGTGCGACTTGAAGAGCCGGCAGCACCCTTGCCCACAATTGTTTCTGGTAAGCACCCATAGCCACAAAATAGTTTAGGGCTCAGAGTGCAAAGGTAGTCATTGAGTAGAGTCTTCTGCCCAGAATCTCCAAATCCTTTCCTTCCTTATTAGTAGGGGTCGGGTGACCCTTAGTGGGTAGTCTTGTTGCACTGGATTCCACAACTAACGAGTTAGGAGCGGGGTGCTTGAGTAGGAAGGAAGTTTTAGGGCCATGAACACGATACATATTCTCTGTTCTCCGTAAAAAGGATGTGGAATTAGCTGGGTGCTCCCAGTATTCTGTAATAAGGTCCATAAGCTCAGGCACATAGGAGAGACTAACAGGATGAGACCTCTCCTTGTTGATATCTCCAAAGATGAGATCGTCCTCACGTGCTGGGGATTTTTCCACCTCCATTCTCAAAGTGGCTGTCATCCTCAAAACCATTTGAGGATATGATGAAAAATCCTCAGAGGGAGAGGAAGGGTGGATGTCTGCAGCATCAGACCCCAAGGGTTCTCCTGGGAGAGGAGTCTCCAAAGAAGCTTCAGAAGTTCCCTCGTCCTCCTGATCAGACGAGGGTTGCGAATCTTGGCCATCATCATCATCATCAGAAGACTGAAGTATTCTAGGGTGTTGGGGCGTCTCCTTAGCTCTATCTGGCTTCTGAGGAGGGATATTGTCAGGAGGTGGAGGAGGACCCATCGGAGCAGAAGGAGGGACTGGTTTTAACGACTTCGATCTCAGAGTTTGCCCATTAGTCGAGGATGACTGTTCATCCTTGTCGACATCGGAGCGTTTACGATGCTGACGTTTCTTTGGGGGAGGAGTGGAGGACAAAGATGTAGAGGTATAACGGGTCCTCCTCCTTCGCCATCTCTGGTCCCTCGACGTCGATGAAGATTCTGACGAATAGTCCCTTCGACAACGTCGACGACGGGACCTCCTCCTTTCCACACTGTCATCAGAATCAGATGAGGAATAGTCTCGACAACGATGTTTCCTATGTTTGTCGACGCCGGAACCGCATTTACGTTTGCGATGGCGTTGAGTTTTCTTGGAAGAAAGCTCCTCCTCCAAGTCAGATACTGGGAGATGAGGAGGAGGCTCAACAGGCTGCACTGGTCTCCTAGGTGGTGAAGAGGGAGACTTGGAGCCTTGAGATTCCGGTGTCGACGACTGGGATCGAGACGCCCGCCCAGTTAAATAGGGCTATCAGGGGCATTGGTCAAGCCAGAAATCACTTTCCCAATCTGGCTTGCCATCGGTGACCTCTCGACAACGACAGGTGTCTCCTGTCTAGGTGGGAGAGAGGTCCCGATATCCGATGTCGACTCCCGATCACGAGATGAGTCTTCCAATATAGGCGATGGGAGCGAGGTCGAAATGGGGGGAACGTCAAGGGTAACCTCCCAAGATTACGTTGTCGACTTAACGGTCGTTTTCTTCTTTTTCAGAGGCTCAGAGGTTGCTGGTTTAGAGGACTCAGTCAACGTCGAGGTAAGTAAAGTTGTAGAAGAAGTCTTCCTCTTAGACTTGTCCTTAGATTTTTGCTGAGGAGGTTTCTCCTTAGGTGGTTCTAGCGCCGGGGATGGGACTACTCTGATCTCAGACCGCACCGACAAAGTAGAAGGGGCTACCTCCATTTCGGATGGTTGGGAAGCCGAAAGAGTTTGCTTCCACAGGGAGTACTTGAGACGTTGCTGGCGAGCCTTAAGGATGGCCTTTGTAAACTGTTTGCAGTGTCAGCAATGGGAAACTTGGTGCGATTCACCCAAACATAACAAACACAGTGAGTGCCCATCCTGGAAGGGTAGTTTTCTTGAGCAGGCGGTGCAGAGACGAAAAGGTCCTGTCCTCGGAGATGGTTTTTCTTTAGGAGGCATAGACCAAGCGGGGATAGCCGCACAAACGAAAAGCCAGGCAGATATTGCCTTAGGAAAAGTCCGAACGCTAGAAACAGCCGCTTTAATAGAAAGTCCGCTTAACTGAAGAGATCTGGTAAGCGTGTGGCTCCTCAGCAGGAGGCCAATCAGTTCTGAATTGAGAAATCCGGCAGGCGCGTGGCGCCACAGTGGGAGGCCAATAAAGGCCAATTAGGCCGGAGGTAAAGGTAACGGTAAAGGTTCCCCTTGACAATTTTTGTCCAATCGTGTTCGACTCTAGGGGGCGGTGGTCATCCCCGTTTGCAAGCCATAGAGCCAGCGTTTGTCCGAAGACAATCTTCCGTGGTCACACGGCCAGTGCGACTTAGACATGGAACGCTGTTACCTTCCCACCAAGGTGGTTCCTATTTATCTACTTATATTTACATGCTTTCAAACCGCTAGGTTGGTGGGAGCTGGGACAAGCGACGGGAGCTCACTCCGTTGCGTGGATTCGAACTTATGACTGCTTGGTCTTCTGACCCTGCAGCACAGGCTTCTGTGGTTTAGCCCACAGCACCACCACGTCCTTATTAGGCCGGGAAAAGGCACAAAAAGGCTGCCAGAGGCAAAGAGTAGTCGAAAAGCCAGTCCAAGTCAGGGCAACAGCAAGAAGATAAGCGAAAGACAGTCCAAATTCATGAAAATAGCGAAAAGAAATGCACAACTCTAAACGAGAGTCCAACTCCGCAGGAGGAAAAAAGGAACGGAGCCGTTGGCGGGTGGAGCATGCACTGTATAGGGCAACCTAAAACATTGTTACTTTTCTCTTTTAGCTCTAGAAGATTCTGAGAGGCCAGTGCAAGCGCTGTCTTTACCCACTGGTGGGGATTCATAGAGAATGACGTTGAAGAAGTGAGTGACTTACCCCAAGATGATGTAGAAACATGAATAGATCGTACTCGGAAGACATAGCAGGTCCCTTTCGCTTTTGGCAATTATTCAGTGTTTGCGGTCAGTTACACTTATCAGGGTCCAAAGACAAAAAAGATGGGCTGATGATCTGCTGGATAATTTGGAGAACAAGAGATATTTTTCTTACCTGATAACAAAAGTGAGTGACTTACCCCAAGATGATGCAGAAACATGAATAGATCGTACTCGGAAGACATAGCAGGTCCCTTTCGCTTTTGGCAATTATTCAGTGTTTGCGGTCAGTTACACTTATCAGGGTCCAAAGACAAAAAAGATGGGCTGATGATCTGCTGGATAATTTGGAGAACAAGAGATATTTTTCTTACCTGATAACAAAAGTGAGTGACTTACCCCAAGATGATGCAGAAACATGAATAGATCGTACTCGGAAGACATAGCAGGTCCCTTTCGCTTTTGGCAATTATTCAGTGTTTGCGGTCAGTTTCACTTATCAGGGTCCAAAGACAAAAAAGATGGGCTGATGATCTGCTGGATAATTTGGGGAACAAGAGATATTTTTCTTACCTGATAAGAAAAGTGAGTGACTTACCCAAAGATGATGCACGAAGTTTAATAGATTGTACTCGGAAGACATAGCAGGTCCCTTTCATTTTTGGAAATTATTCAGTGTTTGCTGTCAGTTTCACTTATCATGGTCCGAACACAAAAAAGATGGGCTGATGATCTGCTGGATAATTTGGGGAACAAGAGATATTTTTCTTACCTGATAAGAAAAGTGAGTGACTTACCCAAAGATGATGCACGAACTTTAATAGATTGTACTTGGAAGACATAGCAGGTCTCTTTCGCTTTTGGAAATTATTCAGTGTTTGCTGTCAGTTTCACTTATCATGGTCCGAACACAAAAAAGATGGGCTGATGATCTGCTGGAAAATTTGGGGAACAAGAAGAATTTTTCTTACCTGATAAGAAAAGTGAGTGACTTACCCAAAGATGATGCACGAACTTTAATAGATTGTACTTGGAAGACATAGCAGGTCTCTTTCGCTTTTGGAAATTATTCAGTGTTTGCTGTCAGTAAAAGATGTGTTGATGGCCTGCTGGATAATTTGGGGAGGAAGAGGCATTTTTCTTACCTGATGATGAAAGTGAGTGACTTACCCCAAGATGATGCAGGAAGATGAATAGATGGTTCTTGGAAGACATTGCAGGTCCCTTTCACTTTTGGAAATCATTCAGTGTTCGATGTCCGTTTCAATCATCACGATCCGAAGATAAAAAAGATGTGTTGATGGCCTGCTGGATAATTTGGGGAGGAAGAGGCATTTTTCTTACCTGATGATGAAAGTGAGTGACTTACCCCAAGATGATGCAGGAAGATGAATAGATGGTTCTTGGAAGACATTGCAGGTCCCTTTCACTTTTGGAAATCATTCAGTGTTCGATGTCCGTTTCAATCATCACGATCCGAAGATAAAAAAGATGTGTTGATGGCCTGCTGGATAATTTGGGGAGGAAGAGGCATTTTTCTTACCTGATGATGAAAGTGAGTGACTTACCCCAAGATGATGCAGGAAGATGAATAGATGGTTCTTGGAAGACATTGCAGGTCCCTTTCACTTTTGGAAATCATTCAGTGTTCGATGTCCGTTTCAATCATCACGATCCGAAGATAAAAAAGATGTGTTGATGGCCTGCTGGATAATTTGGGGAGGAAGAGGCATTTTTCTTACCTGATGATGAAAGTGAGTGACTTACCCCAAGATGATGCAGGAAGATGAATAGATGGTTCTTGGAAGACATTGCAGGTCCCTTTCACTTTTGGAAATCATTCAGTGTTCGATGTCCGTTTCAATCATCACGATCCGAAGATAAAAAAGATGTGTTGATGGCCTGCTGGATAATTTGGGGAGGAAGAGGCATTTTTCTTACCTGATGATGAAAGTGAGTGACTTACCCCAAGATGATGCAGGAAGATGAATAGATGGTTCTTGGAAGACATTGCAGGTCCCTTTCACTTTTGGAAATCATTCAGTGTTCGATGTCCGTTTCAATCATCACGATCCGAAGATAAAAAAGATGTGTTGATGGCCTGCTGGATAATTTGGGGAGGAAGAGGCATTTTTCTTACCTGATGATGAAAGTGAGTGACTTACCCCAAGATGATGCAGGAAGATGAATAGATGGTTCTTGGAAGACATTGCAGGTCCCTTTCACTTTTGGAAATCATTCAGTGTTCGATGTCCGTTTCAATCATCACGATCCGAAGATAAAAAAGATGTGTTGATGGCCTGCTGGATAATTTGGGGAGGAAGAGGCATTTTTCTTACCTGATGATGAAAGTGAGTGACTTACCCCAAGATGATGCAGGAAGATGAATAGATGGTTCTTGGAAGACATTGCAGGTCCCTTTCACTTTTGGAAATCATTCAGTGTTCGATGTCCGTTTCAATCATCACGATCCGAAGATAAAAAAGATGTGTTGATGGCCTGCTGGATAATTTGGGGAGGAAGAGGCATTTTTCTTACCTGATGATGAAAGTGAGTGACTTACCCCAAGATGATGCAGGAAGATGAATAGATGGTTCTTGGAAGACATTGCAGGTCCCTTTCACTTTTGGAAATCATTCAGTGTTCGATGTCCGTTTCAATCATCACGATCCGAAGATAAAAAAGATGTGTTGATGGCCTGCTGGATAATTTGGGGAGGAAGAGGCATTTTTCTTACCTGATGATGAAAGTGAGTGACTTACCCCAAGATGATGCAGGAAGATGAATAGATGGTTCTTGGAAGACATTGCAGGTCCCTTTCACTTTTGGAAATCATTCAGTGTTCGATGTCCGTTTCAATCATCACGATCCGAAGATAAAAAAGATGTGTTGATGGCCTGCTGGATAATTTGGGGAGGAAGAGGCATTTTTCTTACCTGATGATGAAAGTGAGTGACTTACCCCAAGATGATGCAGGAAGATGAATAGATGGTTCTTGGAAGACATTGCAGGTCCCTTTCACTTTTGGAAATCATTCAGTGTTCGATGTCCGTTTCAATCATCACGATCCGAAGATAAAAAAGATGTGTTGATGGCCTGCTGGATAATTTGGGGAGGAAGAGGCATTTTTCTTACCTGATGATGAAAGTGAGTGACTTACCCCAAGATGATGCAGAAACATGAATAGATTGTACTCAGAAGACATAGCATATCCCTTTCACTTTTGGAAATCATTCAGTGTTTGCTGTCAGTTTCACTCATCATGGTCCGAAGACAGAAAAGACTTGTTGATGGTCTGCAGGATGATTTGGGGAACAAGAGGTATTTTTCTTACCTGATACCAAAAGTGAGTGACTTACCCCAAGATGATGCAGAAACATGAATAGATTGTACTCAGAAGACATAGCATATCCCTTTCACTTTTGGAAATCATTCAGTGTTTGCTGTCAGTTTCACTCATCATGGTCCGAAGACAGAAAAGACTTGTTGATGGTCTGCTGGATAATCTGGGGAACAAGAGGCATTTTTCTTACCGGATACAAAAAGTGAGTGACTTACCCCAAGATGATGCACAAAGTTTAATAGATTGTCCAACATTATTCGGAAAACATAGCAGGTCCCTCTTGCTTTTCAAAATCATTCAATGTTTGCTGTCAGTTTCACTTATCATGGTCCAAAGACAAAAAAGACTTGTTGATGGTCTGCAGGATGATTTGGGGAACAAGAGGTATTTTTCTTACCTTATACCAAAAGTGAGTGACTTACCCCAAGATGATGCACAAAGTTTAATAGATTGTCCAACATTATTCGGAAAACATAGCAGGTCCCTCTTGCTTTTCAAAATCATTCAATGTTTGCTGTCAGTTTCACTTATCATGGTCCAAAGACAAAAAAGACTTGTTGATGGTCTGCAGGATGATTTGGGGAACAAGAGGTATTTTTCTTACCTTATACCAAAAGTGAGTGACTTACCCCAAGATGATGCAGAAACATGAATAGATTGTACTTGGAAGACATAGCAGGTCCCTTTTGCTTTTGGAAATTATTCAGTGTTTGCTGTCAGTTTCACTCATCATGGTCCGAAGACAAAAAAGACTTGTTAATGGTCTGCTGGAAAACTTGGGGAAGAAGAGCCATTTTTCTTACCTGACAACAAGAGTGAGTGACTTACCTGAAGATGGTGTACCAATTTTAGTACATCCCAAGAAAATGGACCAGTAAGTTTGGCTGGCCTGCCCCCACCCACAACAATAAGCGCATCATAACCGAGGACCTCAGGAGGCATCACAATCACTGTATTTTGATGATGGAGGGGGTATCTCTGTGTGTGGTTGGGGGGACATTACTGGAAAAGGACGGTCTTTTGCCCATAAGGACCATGAGAAAGACAAGGTTTGGTTCCCTGTTGATTTGGAGGCAATGAGAAAGCCTCGGTTACTAATAAATCCAGGGAGATGATATTTCATAACTCTTTCACTGTGGAAAAATGTTATTTTTTGCCATCAGCACACAGGAGTCCTGAGAGCTGTTTTGACCATCTTAACTAGTCACTCTCCTTCTTACCTGTGCTTCTTACCTGTTCAGTCTTAACCAAAGGGGTGTACATGTAATTGGATTGGTTCACTTATTAACCCTGCCATTTGCTGCCATCTTCCTGAACATCCCACATTGTTTTGGTGATACTTTCTCCAACATCTTTGTACCATTTTATAATTTATTGGTCTGCCATCTCCCTTTCTCTCTGTCTCAAGAAATGCTCAAAGGAATGTCTGCAAGGGAAACCAAATGTCAGCCACTACGAACACACACATACAAAAACCACCATCAGTTGAAAGAATGTCGACAGAATATATTTCCCCTTCTTTATGTAGTCTCTCCATGGTTTTCTGAAAGCACCTGAAAGATGAATAAATATATTATGGTACAGGCTTCCACCAAGTAAATCCTGCTGCCTCCATTGCATGACGGGTCCCTTTTAACTGAGCCAATATTTGTATCTATGACCTCAGCAAAAGAACAAAGAAAACAAAATGGCAAATCTTGGTCCCATTCTTTTTGTAGG